GACGAGTCAAAGTCTTTTTAGATAAATTGCATCTATAATAAGGTTGCCCAACTAATTGGCTGAACAGAAAATGCCATTAGCAGTTTTAAACACTCGCAATTTTGGTATGGTCTGCCGCTAAATGAGACTCATGAAAATTGTCGCCAATTACTCATTCTTCAAAGTAAACGCGTTGAGTAGGAGGCAGTCGGCTAATAAAGTCTGCCAAGCCAGGAATGCAATTCAAATGCACATTTTGAAGTATCCTAATGATTTTCATGTTGTAGGATTCAATTACATCATTCCACGGTCATTTCAAAGTTAACTTCAAGTTTATGGCACGCATAAGTGAACAGATGACTTCGAGGGTTCAGTATTCTGATGGACATTTACTGTATATTGTTTACATAAGAGAAAGCGTCTAAACGTTGCGTCGTACTAATAATCGGGCGTCTTATGCATGTGGGCGCACAAACGGGACACTTGTGATTACCAAACGAGAACTATTTGAAAAAAAATGCTTTATTTGTTTTCCTTTCAGATGAAAGACATTGTCCATTCGATGGTCAAGATATGGTGATTTCCAATCTGCAGTGGTTATTCCTATCTACCCCACTGCACCAGCAATATCGTATCCAGCCCATCAGTGGTAGCCAATGCGCATGCAGTGTTGAGGCAATGCAGTTTAGCAGAGGAAGCGTATGCACGAAGGTGGACGCGCAACAAGAAAGACAGTTGTGTGCACTCCTGTTTTCTGAAATACGTCTGAACGTCACCTGTCGGTATGCACACCCCACTAGCTGGTTTGATCGCAATCAGCAGCACAGGACTGATTCGTCCATTTGGAAGATAATGCCTTTGAAAAATATCCGAGTTAACGTTTTGGCGACGGTAACCGCTAATGCGGTTTTGAGGTACACGATTATGTCCGATTCCCCATCATCGACACCAAGTCAAGGTCGTTCGGCATATACCAATTATATATTTCATCTACCTCGAAAGGTACGCATCAACGCGTTGACGGTCATGCGGCAGCTGTTGGAATCAGCATTCTCTAACGCCTGTCAAATGTGTGGATCAGCGTATGTGAACGACTGATAATCGATTAGTAAGCTTTGACTTCCTCCATGATGATGACGCAACGCCAATGGGGGGCGTTTTAATAAATACAAATTTGCACCGGTCAATCTGTCAAACGAGATGAAACTCTTGCGTCATCCGAATGTTACTGATTGTCTTCTACAAATGGAGCTAACTATGTTCAATCGCTTTCATCACTTCCGTCGCAAAAGCTAAAACAGGGTTATGGCGGAAGAATCCGTTGGTTTAAGGCATTGAAGATGGCAAAGTAAATAGTTAAATGACTGATGACTGGGGCTTACAATGCAGTGCCCTACTGAGAATAAAAGTAAGACTGAGATTTGACACTTATTAGAAAATAATATCAAGCTGTTGTTCGTGCAATATGTGAAAGGCGGAGAAGCAACCAAACCAACTGAATCGGCAATGAATCAATATTATGACTTATCAATCGAAAGAACTTGGGACGTCATGCATTCATCCTAATATGCTGACTGCTGGCGTACAAACGTAAACCACCAATAGTGCTAGCGTCAGGCAATCTGGTTGGATAGTGCAGTTGAAATCTTCCAAATTTTACACAATAGGCCTTCGACCAGCAAACTAAGCATCTAACCTTAACCGATAGGACCGGGATTTGAAGGAGGGAAAAAGGGCAATGTAGCAATGTTTGTGTTTGTCGGACCCTTTTTATTCGTACTCATATCCGTCACCAAGGACAGAATCAGATAAAAGTAGTTTTCTACACAAGTGGAAACTTGGGCTATGCCATTCAATAAAGCTACCATGAAATGTAAAATTTATAAATACAAATACTGGCATTCGGGCTGAAGATTCAAATCGGCCAGAAACAGTGAAATTAATTTTGTTCTCATGATGACTAGCCGTATCAGTCATGATACCCTAGGTAATTTGCTCAATAGCTTTCCCTATGTTACAGTAATGTGTCAGTACTAAAATATTCCTGTGTCGGCCATGAAATACAGAATTAGTTTGAATTTCAAATTAATTGGGTGTTTACACAAGCTTTGCCAAAATATTCACAAGGAGCACTTGCTCGCAAAGCTATTTTAATTTCTAAACAAGCGTTATACACTATGAATAAAGGAGATATATTCAAAATTAAAACCTTCGTGGAGGACGCTGTTTCTTGAGAAAAAAACGATAATAAGATATGGAAAAACGGCGAGGACAAATAATCGTACAGACTCGTGAGAAATGATGACTTTTCCAGTATACATTATTGTTCTGCATACAGTTCAGACAGTTCCGAGCGAAGGTCAATTTGTGGAGCTTTTTCTTGATTAAATTCACGTCCCACAAGATTCGACCGAGAAATAAAAACTGTCCGGACTCATTAAATGAGCTGCATGAGTGCAATCACTGAAACAAAGACGGACACAAAACACGTGCTAAGGCAATTCGAAACCAGTTGTGTGCATTATTCGCATATTCAACCAACAGTAGAGAATGTTCTAGTGTTAAAGTAAATGCGAAGAGCAGAATTGCAAATGTGCATAGATCTACGCAACTGCCCCACGACAGAGCGTTTGTTCATCAAAAAATGCACGATAAAACATGCAAAATGTTGCATCACAAACTCTATGAGTTTGATTTGAAAGTTGATATGGCTACAAAAGCAAGGTGAAGTGCGTGGAGGTGTAAGAGGTGAATCAGGACGGTTAGATAGGGAAGTCGAATGTACTGGTTGAGTGGAGTGGACTAAAACGGTTAGATCAGGCAAGGAAGATGCAGCAGAATTCGACGGCGCAACGAACGGCGGGATGCATTCACGACAGCTCGAATTAAGTCTGTTAATGTAGACCGTGTCGGTCCTGTTGGCCTTCTGATCGACGCGATACTTGTCCATCGCTGAAGAACATTGTATAAGCCATCATATGCGGAACAAACTGCTTCGTGCCGGATGCAACCAAAAGGAGCGGATTTGAGGTCGTCATGCACAAACAGTCATGTGGATGTCATCGAGGGGAAATTTGACGCAGTTGAGACATGCGTAGTTTGAACTTCTGCACGAAGGTGCTCGGCATATTGGTGTTCGTGGCAAAAGACTGTACAAATTCGCCGGGCAAACGGAAGGGTTACCTTATAGTAGTTCGGCAGCAGTGTATGGGGTGTCCTCCTTGACAGAAGATCAGATGCCCAAAAGCACAATAGGGAGATTGGTGCTCCAAAAAGATAGTTCTGAGTGGGGCCATAGTGCAAACTTGAATTGATGGCGTAGACGCTCCACGAGGCGGCCAATGTACTTGATGCACAAAATGTGCGGCCGTGGCGGACAAAATACTGCCTAGTCTGAAGAGTAATGCAAGAGCTCATTTGCGGCCAGATAAATTTAGCTTACGACAAACATGGATTCCGGGATGCAACGGGGAATATAAATGATCTAAGAAACATTGTGGTAAAATAGTTAGACAAAAGGTCGAGGAGTACTTGTGGATTAGGCGCATAATGTCGTACTTGGTGATGCGGGAATCGCTGCATCTTAAAGGCACAGAGTAATAGACGTTCGCATGTTGAATATCCGCCAACCTCGCAACGTCGAAATTGGGGGTTAGGCTGTTGGTGTTTGGTCGGGATAATGCAACATCAACGGCATTGTTGCTGCCTCGGACGTAGGGGATATCTGCAGTAAACTGCGAAATATATTCTAGATGGAGGGTCTTCCAGGACATCCAGGGTGTCAAAAAATATTCGACTTCAAAATCAACCGCCGAATCAGCCACAAACGGAGTTGCCTATTGACGCCGTATTGGTGTGTTGAGACGAACTGCAGTGAACTGGAAGACAAGGTTGCCGCATTCCAAGATCTTTGACGGGTTTTCAGAGAAAATGTATACCCACGCAACTTCGTCAATCGGTGCATGCGTGAACGAGACGAGCGACAATATCGTACCGATTCCAAATCCTGGCGAGCGATCCCATACACCAAGAACGTCTCCGAGGCCGTTAGTCGCCTTCTCGCACCGCTTGGGGTTGGAGTTGCACACAGAGCAGGGGTCGCCATAAGGCGTCAATTGATGAGACCAAAAGACCCACTGCCACGGCAAAACATCTGGAGTCGTTTATCGGATCTGGTGCAGTTGCGGACAAAGTAACTACGTCGGTGAAACGAGAAGACCGCTCCAGACGCAAATTGCCAAACACGCAGCATCGGTACGGAGAAATGACCCCAACTCTCAGGTCGTGGTACATTCGACGAGACCCGGTCACACATTTCAGTTCGATGAGGCCAAAGTTCTCGCAAAAAGGGGATAATCACGTAAGCAGCGAGTTGCTTGAGTCATGCTTTACGGGACCTCAGTCTATCAAGAAGTACAACGACATCCTCACTTCATATGCCGTGCTGAGGCATAGGCAGGCCAAATTAATTAACCACTCAGGGAACTCGAAGGCCGCTGGGCCAGTTGGCCGAGTAATCATCACACCAGCAACCAACACGTTGATGAGATTTCAGCAATTAACAACTTTCACGGTGGCCATCAAACAATGAGCTCACTAGAGGGAAACAATTTTTGATTATGGGTGAGCGACCAATTATCATATGTATGCGGTGGTATAGCAACTGAATCCTAAAAATACGGCAACTTCCTGTGCACGAATCACCCATTTCTGTCACAGTCTCTGACGATATGTTCAAGTGAGAATTCGAAGCGTCAGGCGAATAAAATTTTTGTTCCAGCAATCGCTTCTAATTCCTATCAACTACTTTCTGGAAATCGCATTTTCGTTTGTATCGGAAACCTGTTTTCCTGTTATTTTTGCTGGTGGGAAATCACGGTTAAGCCTGTTGTAAACCAGAGGGTGTTGTGGTCTACCTAGGTACGGCGAAGAGGAAGATACGGGGGGAGGGACGGCGGTTGGTGCGGTATGGGAGGTTCAGTTGGTCGGAAGGTGTCCAATGAGTACAATTCGTGTCCGGAATGTCCGTTGACAGCGAGGACAATTTGGAAGCTGTTGTGCGTCGGCGTTCCGGACGAGGCGTAGCTGTGATTTGCGTGCTTCCTCGTCCTCTCCGCCGTCAAATAAGTCAGACAATTCTTCTGAACCACCACTTCTATCCTCCTCCTCCTCTTCCTCCTCCCCTCCTCCTTCTTCCCATCCTCCTCCTCCTCCTCCTCTCTTTCTCCGGCTCCGGCTCCTCCCCCTACCACACTGCACCAACCACGGCCTCCCTGGTGGCCGTCACTCACACCAACATCACACACATCCATGACACAACAACAGACACCATTCCTTCAACCTCCGACTCCAGGAGTGAGGACCAGGACAACACCTGCCCTCACTGCGACCGCATCATCACCTCACACATAGGCCTGGTCAGTCACTTGCAGATCCATCTCACGGGGACTGGCGAACCAATGTTTGGAGCACCAACCTATACCCACCAAGCTCGCCTCCACTGCACACACTGCCATCGCACTTCCACGCATGGGCCTATTCGACCACATTCACATCCCCGACGACCTGCGGTAGACAACCGCCGGCCACACCATAACACCCTCCCTCCCTGCCTCCGCCACCATCGCCACCATCGCCACCACCACCACCACCACCACCACCACCACCACCACCACCACCACCACCACCACAACCACCACTACCACCACCACACATCAACACTCACCCACCGCATGCACCCAACTGCCACCTTCCACGCAATTGGGAAGTGTGCATCTCGATTCGATCCCCAAGCGGCTTCGGCTGCACGGGTGACTTGAGTCTTAGACTATCCCGGCACGTCAAGCGTCGTGGATAGGTAGGTTGCTGATTGACGCCCCCAATCGGTCCACGCAGTTCGTCCCGTTGTGTGTGTGTGTGTGTTGTGTGGAGTGGCGGACTGGTGGGCTGAGGACGGGCTGAAACAGTACCTACCACGGCCCTCACACGCAATGAGAGACACGCCGTTCAACCCCCGTTGTGCAAAATCCTGGCGTGTGTGTGTGTATGGGGGGCCAGGTCGTGGCGCGCGCAGTCATGGTCAGTCGACCATGCCAGCCACCGCGCCCATTTCCCACTCCAGTCGGCTGACCGGCTCGGACAGTGGCTGGAATGTGGGAATGGGAAGGGAGAGTGACGTCGACGACTCAGTGCACTTCACTCACTATAAACAATCTGACGCGCTTGAAGTTATCACGGTGCGCCAAAAGCCGTAAATTTGAAGGTTGCCAACTGACGGGATAACTTGGACCTCCTCCTGGATTGGAGGACTGAGAGTCAGGCTGCAATGGCTCGTTTTTAATGTGGCCTTTATGGCACTCCCAGTATGTGCGATCCGAGACAGGCACCAGCGGCACGCCTAGGAGCGGCTTCGGCCGTGCCAGCTTCCAATCTCTGTTGTAATGGTTGAAATCCTGGTTATTTGTTTTGTGAACCGGGGGTGTGGTGGAACGCCAAGGTGAGGATCCGTCCGAGCCATCCATCTGCGGCCTCCCTAGTCTCCGTGCTTCTTGACTCTGTCTTGACACCGGGCTCGGGCGAGGGAGGAGGAGAAAGTGTAGGTAGATGCAGCGCAAGTCTACCGGCACTAGAAAATTCTGCGCAAGTCACCGTCCCTGCTCCCACGGCTGCTGCTGTGGGCACACGGTAGACATCATCGAAATCGATGGTCGAACTATCAGGTGCGGGACCGTCCGTGTCGCAAACTGTGCCTTCCTCCGCCTCCGGTTCGCTTGACCCTGTCATGACACCGGGTCCAGGTGGTGAGTGCTAAGAGGGAGTGCGGCAGCTGTTGCGCAAGTCCTCTAGCACTATTAACTAGTTCACTCGCAAGTCACCGTGCCTGTTGCACCTAGTGTGCAGCCCACGGTGTCGGCAACGACAGTCAAACTATTGTGTTTATGTGTAGGGATGAATAGGCGATTTCAAAATTGACGGTCGAACTCCTTCTGCAAAAATCTCCTTAAGTCTGTAGTGATTCAGATTATAGAATTTTCGCAATAATATGCAAAGGGGTCTCTGAAGCGGTCTCGCGACTGTTACAACCCACCAGAGTAGGCATAGCCCATCGACCCCAAGCAACAGTTCGACGTCGCCTGATGCAACCCATGGACCCATTGCCACCTGCTGAAACCTAAGCGGTCATCTACAAAATAAACTGCAATGAGGGCGACTGCAACTATGTGGGCGAATCCGGGCGGAAATTGCAAACTCGCCTACAAGAACATAAATCGGCCAATCGGGGGTTAGACCCTAACTATCAAGTAGCAACACACTTTGGAGAAACAATGCATACTTTTGACCTCCAGAGGGCTACCATCTTAGGCCTAGGCAACACAAAAGCAGAACGGCTAACTCTCGAGGCGTGGTTCTCCGATGTCCACTTTATCAACAGGCATCTGGAACTTCCTGCAGCTTACAAAGTCCTACCTCATCACAATCGTGAAAGTCAGGACCAAATGCGCTACGGAGATAACCTGACGCCGAGTTTACTCGATGAGGAAGAACAAGAACCGCAAGACCGACCGCCCGACAGAGGTTCACTCAACCCCCCTCTACGGAGTGATGGCTCACAAAGCCCACAGGCAAAACGCCCGTCCACCGTGCCCCGAGAGGCTGAGGCAGCGAGAGGAGAGAAAAATCGACCAGCATAAGGCCGACCAACACAAGAGCCGACCCAGCTCTTTGAAACGTCAACAGTTAAAAAAACCTGTTCCGGAGAGCCTATTTTTTCCTTCAAATAGTGTTTTCAACCAGGTTGCAAAGGCGCGCTACTTCAGCGTGGGTCCATTGGACTGACTTTTCTCACAGCAGTGAATAGGCTTTTTTCGTTTTCAGCAAGCTTCTTCATCTGAAACGCCGCTCTAACTCCTGACATTACCTCCAAACTAGCCTGCAGTATTGCGACTGTCCTATTTTTCTAAGCAGCGGGGACTAAATTCCAGACGAGATAAGACTGAAAAACAAATGTGAGACATAAACGAAGGCAAAACAGGGTCGACTGTTAAATCACCGGCAAATCTATAGATAAAAGCGTGCTGGGCGGTGTTTGTTAAAGCACCGGTCTTTCCCGTTTGTGGCTGTGTCACCACTTTACCATACTGAAACCAGCTGCTGGAAGATTGTTTTTTTGCCATCGAGAAAATCAAACGGAGGTCAGGTCAGCCGCCCAGCCTGCTGCAATGCACAGATCCTTCAAAATTCTGCTACAGTTAGCTGACCGCCGAGTCAGGATTTCTTATGCAATCAATCTAGATTCTAGGGGATGACTACGAGGCCCACTTAATTGATCGGTGCTGTTGGCAGATTTGATCAACCCACTTAAACAAATTGTATAAAGCACGGCCCCCATTGACTACTCTCAAGCCTTGCCTTTGCCGACGCGGGTTCGAAGCCCTCCTAGGACGCCATGCTTTTTGCATTTGGATGAGAAAAATAACCCATCATTACCAAGTCAAATAATGATAAGACAATCCTGGTTAATTATAACTTGACAAGTCCAAGGGAAAATTTCAAATGTTTAGTGGTCAAATTAAAATCAATGCAAACTTCTAATCCGAGCTTCAAGTTTTCACTTTGAAAGGCCCAGACACACTTTCCCCTATTCCTAAGGGATTTAGGAAGTTTAAGGTCAAGCCGGTAATAATCTATCCTCACAGTTTCATGGTTTAGTGTTAAGTCTGTAAGAATGTACAATGGCTAAACATTTATCTGCGTAATGATATACGGATCAGTGGATTTTATACCAGAATCTGCAAAAGTAAAGCATATCAGGATATGACATATTTTGCAAATATTTCGTAAAGCACCACCTGTAAAATTCCTCTATGTAATTATTCACGTAGACTTTTACTAGATTAGAAAGTAAATAAGTGCTTCCATTAAAACCGAATATAGAAGAACTTTATAATCACAGTCACATATGTGTTGTTTTAGTCGAAATTATGGAAGCATCAAATAATGTCTATGTATTGCGCTATCGTTGTGGTCTTAGCTTTGACTTTTTATGATAAAACGTATCATTGTAAGGCAGGATTAGGGGCTATTATTGTGAAAGTGTTTGTGGTAGGCGACATGACTAATGCATTTTGGCAGTCAAGGCTATCATTTTGAGCTCGCGTTACCCCAAGAACTGTCCCTTTTGAAGCAAAAGGCGCTTTATCGATTTCCAAAGGTTATATTACGTTATCTGTGCGATTTTGATCCCTAAATTGCAGTGATAACGCACACAGATAGTCCGTTGTTTAAATTGGCCAAAATAGTTTCAGTCATGTATATAATTCTATGGGTCAATAATTAAATGAGTATCACCGAAAAGTCATTTTAAGATTTGAACACATGAAACAGCACTTTGCGGTTGGCCTAGTTTCCCATTTGTGTAATTTAACAATAGAAAAGTCAAATCATTAACATTCTCAGGAAAATAATAGTTAATATATGGCCACTATGTCGCGGATCCGTAGTTGTAGAACGGAATTTAAGCGGGTGTAGGCCTTAAGGTGTGACTTAAACGACCATCTTCATAAAAAAGAACATTCGAGCACAGAACCTTTCTTTATGGTCATTCAACCAAAAGCAATGCAATTTCATTATTATAAGGCGGTATTTAAAATTCGATCTAGAGCCTAACGTAATTTGGAACAAAGTGTTAAAAAATAAGTTATCAGAAAAAGACGATTTTATATGAAAACATTAGTGTGATTATAATAACACCTGCCGATGCTGTTTAGATTTAACAAAAACTGACCAATCAGACTACTAATGAAATTATACAAAATTATATTCGAGAAGGTGATACCGACAAAGACTAGGGAGACCGGAATGGCCATTTCTGGCTTATTAGCCGTCATCAGCCAGTCATACCCAACTCCAAGTGTTGATCACTGGAGATTCGAACCCGGGATCTTTGGTCATGGATTTGAACGCTCTACCATTGAGCCACGGGCCCGTTGTCCTGTCGGTTGTGATCGGGAATATTAATTATGATAGTGGGCGCTCACCGATTAGGTTATGGAACATGCTCGTTCCGTTATGCCTTGGGGCTCATACTTAAACCCTCGCAGGCAGTCGCACAGCGACTAGTGATATATGTTGAGAAGGTGATAAGTATGAGCCCCAAGGCACAACGGAACAAGCATGTTCCGTAACCTGATCGGTGAGCGCCCACTATCATAAAAATTATATTCATCTGCCGTCGCTATCGATGAAATTGAATGAGGCCCTGTTTACGCTATTGGAACGTATCTTATTGTGCCATATTTACTCAGTTGTTTCAACAGAGTCATGTCATACACATCTAAGCATTTCTCGGTCGCAACTATTTTTGTTGTTTTTTTGAAATTTTCGTCTTAACTGAAAAATATCACTCATAAACAAGATAATACTAAGTTTCATCTATTTTTTTTGTTTTATTTTCCCCTAAAGTGGCAATTTATTTCTGATACCTGTTGTAGTCGGAGTAATTGGCGGCACGGAAAGCGCACAGGTGAACACTGACCCTTGCACAACTTTCCTTGAGTCAGAGGACGGAACGCTCACCATACCAACATAAAGCATACGTGATGAAAATTTCAGCAATTAACAACGCGAATGTTGGCCATCAAACAGTCATCACGCCAAGTGCAACGATACCTTATGAAGCGGGGAGCCGTGAATTTTCATAGATATGCGGTAGCATGGCGACTGCATCCTATATGTGCTGCAGCCCACTGCGCAGAAACTATCCGTATATGCAACTGCCCCTGATGGTGTGTTAGAGCAGAAATCCAGAATTTTAAGCTAATAAAACTCCCATTTCAGTGATCGCGGTTCATTCTGAACATTATTTTTCGGTTTTTATAAGAGGTTTTTTAACTTGACAGTAATTTTAAAGTTCGATCTGCACTTGCATTTGCATTAAGATATTTCGATCTACTAGCAGTGTAACGTCCGTGGAAGAAAAAAACATGCATCCGTTTTAGCCGTTAAACAAAAGCAACCAGACTTACAGTCCCCATTTACAGGCTCTTGCCAGAAAAAATATTTATTCTTTCAGACGCCTGAAAGAAAATTACGTCATCTCTAAGCATTATACCCCAAGGAAGTTTATAATTGAGTTTTAAAAAAGGTTTAACTGGAATAATTTTAAGACCTGTAAATGCCCGTTCATAAAATATTCTGCCACAGCATTTGATAGTGTTGCTTTTAAAATTTGTAATATGGTTCATATCCACTGTTATATTCTTCAAACTCAACAGGGTCTTCTCAAAATACCGCATGAAAATGTACGATTTTTCATACACGGAAAATATACAGTGTGCAACTTGGAAACCCTGAATGCGAACATAAATGCAGGTCGTGTTCAAAATCTTTTGGCAATTAGTAAAGTATTCCTAATCAGAATTTTACCGGTAATTTGAAGAATACGTCATTTTCTACCCAATTTGCAAATAAAAGAAACAAATAAATTTAATGCATGTTTTCGACAAAATATATTTAAAGTTATAAGGTCAGCGAAAATCATTGAGAACAATGTGTACTGCATAAGAAGGCATTATGTACACGGTGTACGTTCTGCAGTCAGTTGGAAAACGTTCGTTCAAAATCAGGCATCCTGAAGTAGCTGAATTATCGTGGGGTTATACTGCACAATGGGCAATATTGCAAAACTTCTAAGTAATGTTTTCGAGTAGAAAACGCATTTCCGAATTTCGGCCAATATTTCATGAGTTGGTACATCTATTGTATCCAGACTGATGTCGTCGACGTCAGACGTGTAATGCTGGGAATGATCAGAATGGTTTTCGATTGTTCTGATGGTTCTGTTTTAAAAGATCGGGCAGTTGTTAGTTTTAAGGACGTGAAACAATATCCAGACCACCCTACATTTCCCATGACACAGACCTTTACAAAAATTTATGGCCTCAAATTTTTGTCCACATTTTAAACATAAAAGTCCGGCATAATTTAACTCACTGATCGTCGTTGGCTTTCACTGATTCAATCTTAAATGGTAATGGACAACATTCAGATAGGAACAATCCACATAAACTTATCGACGTTTATAGCTTAAATAGGTTGGAAATGCAGAAGACTTTCCCAAGACAGTCGCTAAAATAACATAACTTACTTTACTGACGTAAATACCGTCTCTATGGCAACTCGTTCGTATACTAAACTTGTCCGTAAAGCTGAAATTTTCTCAGAAAATTCGTCGCAGTTTGTCTCGCATGGGCGTGATTGAGTGGATATTAATTGCTTTATTTTCTTAAAGGTTCGGATCGATTTCCTAGCTATTTGGATTCTCCTCTTCATAAAATAGTAATTTTTTCCGCAGTTTTTGCCCAGGTCTGACAGGCCGATCACACATAAGAATAATGCGCGTGGTCTGGTCCTTCAGCCCCACCTGAATAATACCCTATGGTTAGTTCTCTGAAACTATCAACGAACATCCCGTAGGTGCATCTTAATTATTATTCTAATCCAGCGGGTGATTGTGTATGAGGGGAGCAGGGCTTATACGCCAGGCTCGGTTACTTCGGATATCAGTCAACTTTCTTCCGTCTTGTTCTAGTCTGCCTGCGCTATCGCCATTATCCTCATCCGGCGATTGACCAAGTAGACATGATAATGGAATATTTTGAATAGTCTGGAGCTCCATCGGCTCCGACTAAAT